ACATTGAGAGGAAGTGCAGTGCATAAGAACCATAACTTTATCTTGACTTATTACAGAGCAATTGCCCTTTGTTACTTTTCCTTGTCCGGGGCATAATTAGAAAACAACTGGTTGGAATTCAAAGCAACTTCATAAAATTGTCAAACACAATAAAGGGAAGTGCAGTGCACAAGAACCATAACTCTATCTAAAGTAATTACAGAGTTATTGCCCTTTGTTACTTTTCCATTGATTTTTTTGTCCGGACCATAACTTCAAGACTAATGGTTGGAATTCAATATAACTACATACAATGGTCAAGCACATTGAGAGGAAGTGCAGTGCATAAGAACCATAACTCTATCTTGACTAATTACAGAGTTATTGCCCTTTGTTACTTTTCCTTGTCCGGGGCATAACTTGAAAAATACTGGTTGGAATTCAAAACAAATTCATACAATTGTCAAACACAATAAGGGGAAGTGCAGTGCACAAGAACCATAACTCTATCTAAAGTAATTACAGAGTTACTGCCCTTTGTTACTTTTCCATTGCCTTTTTTGTCTGGACCATAACTTGAAGACTAATAGTTGGAATTCAATATAACTTCATACAATGGTCAAGCACATTGAGAGAAAGTGCAGTGCACAAGAACCATAACTCCATCTTGACTAATTACAGAGTTATTGCCCTTTGTTACTTTTCCTTGTCCAGAGCATAACTTGAAAACTACTGTTTGGAATTCAATACAACTTCATACAGTTGTCAAGAACATTAAAAGGAAGTGCAGTGCACAAGAGCCATAACTCCATTTTGACAAAATACAGAGTTACTGCCCTTTGATACTTTTCCTTGTCAGGAGCATAACTTAAAACGTACTGGTTGGAATTCAAAACAACTTCATACAATGGTCAAGCACAATAAGAGGAAGTGCAGTGCACAAGAACTATAACTCTATCTTCAGTATTTATAGAATCATTGCCCTTTGTTCCTTTTCTTTGTCTTTCTGGACTTATTACAGAGTAATTCAATTAAACTTCATCAATGGCCAACCACATTGAAAGGAAATGCAACATATAAGAACCACAACTATCTTTAATTGCCCACAACCATAACTCTATATTTCAATTCTTTTACAAGGTATTCTGTTACTAGTAACATCCTCATTTCCGAAGCAGTCTTGTGGGGGTATTAATCACATTTAGTGATAGTTCTAGTATTTACTTGCCCTGCTTTCCTTTTATTGTATTTAGATCTGTATTGACATTGTAGGGAAAATAAGCTTTATAATGACTTGAAATAAATTGTTATATTATATTTCTATTGTTTATTTTTTCCATCCCTGTCGATTATTTAAATGAATAATTTTATGAACTGTTTATGAATTCAGTATATGAATTGGTCATAATTGGTACATGAACAACAATTTGGATAAAGTAGTTCATGAACCAGAGTCATGTACTGTTCATGAACCCATATACATAATGATTTGAAATAAACTATTATTATATCATATATTTATTGTTAATTTAATTTCCAACCCTGATGATTATTTAAATAAATAATTTTATGAACTGTTTATGAATTCAGTATATTAACCGGTCATATAATTGATACATGAACAACAATTTGGATAAATTAATTCATATACCATTCATAAATCCATATCATGAATAATATTAGTGTTTTATCATGGTCTGGGTTTATAAACTAAGTATATTTATGAACTAAATCTTACAATTGTGCACACACACCCATTAAACGGAAAGCTGTTACACAGTTTCTACACAGTTTCTCGGGTTATACATAAAAATTGAAGTTGATCCCTGTTCTGAAATTTCAAACCTAAACTTTGTTATGTCACGTATTTTCGCGAGCTGCTATTGTATTTGTTACTTGATTAACGCGTTTACCAGTCCTATTCACACGTATGCAATCCATATTTATGTATATTTCTGCGAGCTGACTTTTAAACAACCTGAATCATCTTTAAGTTAAATAAGAACAAAAATAAGTGATTCATTGAAGAGATCGATCTGATACCATAAACAGCATAAACTTATTGCTTTATTCAATTGATATTTTCTTAGCTATTTTCAATTCTGAGAATGAGGTGGCGGATTTAAGACATATAAATTCCAAAAATGGTGAAGACATAGCATGTCCGTATATTCAATCCTTAATGTCTGCCGGCAAAGCGGGAGAGTACAGGAGCTTCGTTGAAAAAATCTGGATGAATGTTTATTTTTCAAATATTGAAATGCATATAACGAACATTAGCGATTACCCAATGTTAGCTAAAAATGTCACGTGATCACCCACCCTTTAACGTTGTTCACTCTTGAATACATGTAAATGAACGAAGGTTAAACAGGACATAAAATTCAACATAGATCTAACCGCATAATTGAATGTAGTCAGTTTTAAAGATGATGTTTTAAATGTGCGTGTACAGATTTTGGAGTACTCTAGTATGTAAAATCAATTAATTTTGATAAATATGCTTTAAAATCCATTTTATTATCTTACATATTTACAAATAGATTCATATTTAATTATTACCATTGTTTAAAGATCCTGTAACACATTATTTTTATGGTTTTATATACAAATTATGATGCTCAAATTAAGATTTATCGATATTGTAAGTTTCAAAAAACATTATTTATAAAGATATTACCGAATTTAATATTTCATGTAAATAAAGGGAGGTAATTAGAATTTAGTTTTCTATAAATTCTAAGTCAATTTTTCCAATAAGAAATGAATGCATATAATTTAATGATTACCTTAAATATGTACAAATATTTGCAATAAATATTTTACATATTCCTCCATGTTTGAAAATTGACAAATTTGCATAATTACATACATATATAATTCAATGAAGAGTGGTATGCAATCTCAATTACAAAACATACAGGATCTTTAAGGACATGTATACTTGAATAACCTATTTTAATTATGAATTCAAGTTAATATGAATACTACTACATGTATATTTCAAACTCGTTAGATTTGTGAATATCTAACGTAAAGAATAGATAACGAGTAAGTAGGCATATGTCCGTAAACAGGGGTAGGACGTGATTTATTTACTGACATGTTTCGGTTTTACAGAACACACGGTTTATACGGTTGGCCACCCGTGAAAACCGTACATACAACCGAACTAACCGTGAGTTTAACCGAGTTACACTCGGGCCATTCGTGTGTATCCGTGCAAGCCGTTAAGATTTTTAAAACTTTAAAAAAAAACTGTCCGTGTATGATCGTATATGATCGTATAAACGACCGTACAAGACCGTAAGAAACCTTGTGAGTCCGTATGAGACCGTATATACAACCGTATTTGAAATCCACTCCACGAGTGAGCCCAACCGTGCCAAGATCGTATATAAATCGTATTGAATCGTTCGATACTGTCCCCAAGTACTACATCCAACACCCGATTAACATCCGAATGTCACACGATCACGGTACGATTCACTCGAGTGCACACACGGTTTCATACGATCGCCATACGACCAATACGGTTCAGGTACAAATCATACATGGCAGCCTCTACATCAGCATGAACTGTACAATGAAAACCATAACTACCTGCTGCCACCCTCAATTGCTAGATCTACCCAGAGTACTTGCTGCATCATACTAGAATGTATCCAAAGAAGAAGGTTCCCACACATGCACAGAAGGAATGCAAGAAGGGCCATCCAGGCCCGCTGACCTGTCCAACCTTTTGACCATGCCGAGCCTGATGAGCATTGGACCAACCAATGTCTATCAGTCTTGTCATGATTTCTAATTTCCTTATCCTGTCATCTGTTGCATCTCTTGTAAAATTTTACAATTTTCAACTTATGTCGCATGTAACTCAAAGGAATGTTGATCAGCATGTATAGTTGTGCACCTGGGTATTTTTGTGTGGATATATTTAGTATTTTTAGAGTTATTGCCCTTGACTTAGTAAAAAAATTACAATTTTCAACGTAACTCAAAAAGCATTTGACCTAGATTCATGAAACTTTACCGGAATGTTGATCAGCATGTGAAGTTGTGCGTCTGGGGTTTTTGCTTGTGGATTTATTCTGTTTTGTCAGAGTTATTGCCTTTGATTTAGTAAAAATTTGCAATTTTCAACTTGTGTAGCACGTAGCTCAAAAAGTATTTGACATACGGTCGGTCATGAAACTTTACAGGAATGTTGATTCAGCATGTGAAGTTGTGCACCATGGGTTTTGTTTGTGAATTTAAATGTTTTGTCAGAGTTATTGCACTTGACTTAAAAAAACTTTTTCAATTTGTGTCGTGCGTAGCTCAAAATGTATTTAACCTAGTCATGAAACTTAAAAGGAAGGTCAGCATGTGTAGTTCTGCACCTTGGGTTTCGCTTGTAGATTTATCCATTATTTGTAGAGTTATTGCCCTTGACTTAGTAAAAACAATTTCATTACGTTGTATTATTTGTTCCTTGAGTGCTTGAGTTAAAATCAACCAACTTTACAGGAATAATTATCAACATCACTGTGAAGCTATGCACCTGGTATTTTGCATGTGGATTTCTTTCACTTTTGTTAGAGTTATTGCCCTTGATTTAGTATAAATTTGCAAGTTTCAATTTTGTCATGCATATCTTAAAAAGTATTTGACCTGTAGGCCTGAAAGTTTACAAGAATGTTTGTCAGCATGTGTACCTATGCACCTTAATTGGGGTTCGCTTGTGGATTTATTCAGTATTTGTAAAGTTCTTGCCCTTTACTTAGTAAAAGATTTTTAATTTTTAACTTTAGGCACATGTAGCCCAAAAAATATTTGACATAGAGTCATAAGACTGATAAAACAGTGGAGTGTGGGGGCACCCATGTCCTATGGCCACATTTCTAGTTATTAGATATTAATCTTTAGTTTTATGATTTTTTTACCATACTGCACGTTTGTAACGTCGTTTTTCATAGGTTAATCGTTATGTTTATATAAACGGTTAATGATCATTAATGTCGTAATTTTAATATTTTAAGCTTACACAGAGATGACTAGTTCTGTTAATTACACCATTTGGAAGTCAATAAGACGTCTTGAAGTCCTAAATAGGCATTTTGCGGTAGGCACAAAAGTTTGCTATTCAAGTGCGGCAAACAATGTTGCTCCATATATAACTGTTAAACCTTCTATTGGTATGGTCGACGAAAAAGTTAACATACATATACGTGGACTGGCCGCTAGACAGGTGGTGACTGTTGTTGCTGATGTGATAGAAAATGGAATGAAGTTCGAATCTCGGTGTATTTACAAGGCTGACAATAATGGAGAAATACATAATTTTTCTACAGAATCCATTGGTGGTTATTTTAAAGGTAAGTGTTGCTTGTTCTTTTTTGTCTTTTTTCAGTCAAATTATTTTCCTAATTTTCCGACCCTAAATGTTCTGAGTTTGTTTTTTTAATTATATTAAGTACGTATATCATATCTTGGGGGCGTCCGAGGCCGAGTGGTTACAGTCGTTGACTTCAGACCACTTGTCGTTCGAATCCCGTCAGCGACTTTTGATTCTTTCATATGAAGAAGCTATGTTGCTAATGTACGGAACATCGGCCGGTGGTTTTAATCTGTTTTCCGTCCATGCCTTAATTCCAACTGTCAGAGTTATGCAAACCTTACAAACTCGTGAAATATAGCTATTACTTACTGGATGGTCTACTTATGAATTTTAACAATAAAAAACCTTGTTAATTCGGTAATTAGTTTTACTCGCCCGTCTACCATTTAATCGAACTTTTTTACATGTATATCATTTCACAAGTATTCGAACAGTGTTACGTAGATTGGAAAGAGGCACAAGATTGTAAAGAAATATTAAGAGTACTACTGCTGCAATTATCTTTATTTTTTTAAACATATCTACAATAAAGATACTTAAAACGTTGCTGGATTTACAGAAAGTGTGCAATGTAAAATGGCCTTGAATAGTTTATGAAAGCCTCCTTTTCACTAATTACACTTTAAAATTATTTAACATCATGATTTACAAGCATTGCATATTTGTTGTCTCTATTATTCATTAATAAACAACAGATTTGTATAATGTTAGGTGGATTTAAGTCCTTACAATTTTACATAACAATTATAAAAGCGCTGTCAGTCCCCTTCAAAATAATTAAAACGTCAAATATTTTTACAGGAGTTGAACCAATGGGTCTGTTTTGGAGTCTGAAGTGTTTAGCCGCGCCTAATCAGTCTGCTCGACTTATCAAAAAAGACGTCAGTACACCAATGAAATTCAACATAAAAGTTTATAGTGACGCCCATGAAGTACCTATACAGTCTAATGATCCTATAACTGGGACACAAGTTGAAAGGTTATATAAAAAGCCCGGGGTGAGAAGAATACCGTTAACAGGGAAGATCAAGGGAGCATTATTTATTCCAGAAGGTTTTATTTTTATTTTTTTTAGCTTTACATAAATTTAGATCTACGTTTTGATGAGAATGATCAAAGTTTTCAAAAAATATGAAACCCGAATTTCTGACTTCATTGGAAATATAGCACAGTGGTTAAAATATTGTGATTTGTTTGAAGATCAAAACATCTCATGTGTTTGTTTCAATCTCTTGAAATCAAATTGACAAGACCCTGTGCTGTTTTCAAGTCTAAAATGGTACTATTTATTAGTATATAAGTAGTTACCCGCACTCCAGAGCATGCCCATTGATTGGCTTAGAGAAAAGGATAGCAATAGAAGTATTATATTCGGATTCTCGTTCATTGGTAACTTTTTTCTGGGTTTTGATATTGTGACAACAGGGAGCTGTTTTTTTTTTGCATTCGATACATCAAACCTCTGGGCAATCTAATTTTCACAAATCAGATAGTCTGTGTTTCGATGCTCTTTCTGTTTCTTTATATTCTTAAGAAGTTAAATATTTTACATTTTGTGACCTCCATACAGTGTAACACTTTTTGTCGTAAATTTGTTTCAGGAGACGGCCCTTTCCCCGCGCTGACTGATATGTACGGGGGACTTGTGAGTCTTATAGAAACACGTGCAGCGTTGTTAGCGTCACATGGTTACGTCACATTGGCTTTATCATATTTATACAGTGAAGGACTTCCCAACCAGATATATGAAGTGAATTTTTCCTATGTTACGGTATGTAGGCAAAAACAATACATGAACTCTACTCCAAAATACATGTGTGTGCGCAAAAGAAAGTTAATGCTTATTTCTACCTAAAGAAAAACAAAGTAGATTTTTATCTCTTCCACTCTTTTTTCTAAAATAAGAGAGTTTCCTGAATAGTTTTTGAAATTTAGATCAACTTTAAATCTTTCAAAGAAAATTATCAGACATGTAATTTAGAAATTAAGGGTTCCTGATTTATTATTGACAATATGTTAAATCTAATTTGTTGCGCATCCGCACAGTCTGATCAGGATCCATGCTGTTCGCTTACCAACTCTACAACAAGTAGAGAAACTGATAGCGAACAGCATGGATCCTGATCAGACTGTGCGGATGCGCAGGCTGGTCTGGATCCATGCTGGTCGCAAACGCACTTTGTTGGTTTTGTCGTGACTGGCTCATATATTTAAATAGGATGCATACGAATGGTTGATTGAACAAGATTTTGTTGATAAGAACAGACTTGGAGCCGTTGGACTTTGCTTCGGTGGATTTTTGTCCCTGGCTTTAACATCCATTTATCCACAAGTAAGATTCTAGAATTCTTGTAATATATAATCATTGTAGAATGAGTACAAATGCAATGCAAATAATAGTTGTCATTCCTTATTTCATAACAGAAACATTTCAAATTGTTTTTTTTTTCCTTCATTTTATTGTTAGAATGATAGTCATACTAATCTGCAATGACTTGCCATTTGAAATATTCACTAGATACAAATTGAAAAATTTGTTTGACCGACTTATCAAATGCATTATGAACAGTAAATCACGCTTTATTCATGTTTAATGTATAATAAATATGTGAAGTTACGAATATTTTATGTTACAGATACGTGCTGTTGTAAACATCAATGGAATTACTATATCACCTGAACATGGTAACATCGTTGGTCATTCGGATGAGTGGTATAATACTGTTATCATACTTACAATATATAATATTATAAAATGCTTGGTATTTATACAACATATGCCATGTTCTCGTCAAATAAATCATTTTATTACTTTAACCGTCTGTAACAACAGACTTAGGCGATAGGGTTTCCTCACATGAAAGAATCCTCAGTCCCTAGCCGGATTCGAACCGACAGGGGTAAGGGGCGAGCGGTTTGGAGTCAACGATCTTAATAACTCATGGATTTATATGGTTTAAACTTTTATTTGTGTGACAGTCTTTACATAAAATTATTATAATATGATGTGAATGTAAAATGGACTATAACTGTAACGAAATCAAGAATTATCTCTTCTATTTAAGTTAAAATAGAGATTTCCAAACGTCATGATTTTACTCTTTTAAAAAAATAAATGATAGTACAGTATGCAATTATAACTATCATCATCATCATCATCATCATCATTATTATTATTGTTATTATTATTATTATCATTATCATTATTATTATTAATATTATTTTTATTATTATTATTATTATATCCATTATTATTATTGATTATTATTATTTTCATTATTATTATTATTAATTATTATGATTATTTTCATTATTATTATTAGTTATAATCATTATTATTTTCATTATTATTATTATTATTATTAGTATTATTATTATTATTATTATTGAATTATTATTATTATTATTATTATTGAATTATTATTATTATAATTTTCATTATTATTATTATTTTATTATTATTATTATTATTGAATTATTATTATAATTATAATAAATATTATTATTTTTATTATTATTATTATGTTTTAAAGATATGATTTATATATAACAATTAAGATTTTGGCCTTTATTTTTAGGCTGGATAGAACTAAAGTTTACACCACAGAGGAGGGGGTCGTTATCAATGACATATACCAATGTGAAAACCCTTGGCCTATACCAGTGAGTCAATGTTTAGAATTTGTATATTGCCAGCCAGAGGGCTCAGTAGTACCACTGTAGCTGAATCCTTGGCGAGGCACGCCTTTTACTATAAATATTCTGTTGATGACAACACTCGAAAAGTCATAATGTCTTGTTGAATTGTTTCAAATGATTCTTTGAAAAATTGCAAAAAATAACCTGCCAAGAAATAAGTTTTGTGCTAATTCTTGTCTCAAATCGCAATCTAGGTGACTACTAGTCTATATATGTCTTCAATTCTGTAAAGGAAACGCGAATAACAAACAGTTGGCTAGTACAAGTGGTAAATTTATTTTGTTTCTACACGTTATACAAATGCACCACCATTTTGAAAGTATGGGGTTTTTCATTATGATTGATGATCTACTTATTAATTTGTTGATAATTAATTTTCAATAAACATATGATTTATGTAAGTAGTTTAGTTGAAAAAAGGAAGAACAATAAGATGCCAAAGTCCGAACGGGAAACTTGCTATGTTGAACCATGCAGTAGCTATTATTAAATGAAGCATCGTATATTTTCAGGCATGGCAGCATGGCGCAAAAATTCTAGCTATAATTGGCGAGGATGACAAACAGGTACATCCGAAATGGCACAGTTTTTTCTACGAGAAATGTCCCCCAAAATTTAAGGAAAATATCACGATGTACAGATATCCAGGTGCCGGACATATGATTGAGCCGCCATTTGCACCTCATCCAAGAGCCGTTACTCCTGGTCGAAAACGTATGCAATCAATAAACTTTGTTCCAGAAAAGTTTCATGGTATGTATAGTAAGAACTTACATGTAATGTTTATTTGTTTAATTTGACTTGGCCTTGACATTGCAGTGATGACCTTGACCTTGACATTGTTTGCGTTGATTCATACAGAAATGTCGATTTTACAAAACAATGTTAAAGAGAACATACATTGTACAACCGAACCAAGTAATATTTGACTGTTAAAGAAAACACAGATAGAATGCTAAGGGATGAACTGCTCCTGTCATGCAAAAAAAACTCAGTGGAGTTCCTTAAAACTAACAAGATGTTCTGTATTTAGCTGTCAGTAGCAAATATATGACAGGGGCAATTTAAAAAAAAAGGATTTTATTTGACAAAATTCTTTTTTAATTGTTTTCGAGTTAAATTAATAGACAGTAGTTTAAACTTCCACCTGTCTGTACCGACCACCTTCCACTAGAGGAAGCTCATATACTTCATGTCTATTTCTTTCAGATGAAGATATGATGTCAGGAGGATGGCCGGAGCAGCACGCGCATGCGCAAGAGGATTCTTGGGAGAAAATGTTATCTTTCTTAGAAGAGAACGTGAAAAATGTCAGACACTGAGTAGAGCAAAACGTGAAGAAGCAATATCCGGTGAAAATATCTTGTTTTTGCTCTTTTTTTTTTCGAAATATTTGCAAAACTATAGTGCTGATATATATATAACATAATCATAAAAGAAGCAATCACAATTCGGACTTTTTCCTAGACTAGCTGATGACAAAATCATAATGAAGTGAATGCGTTGATAAGAGATGACTATAAATATAGCTGATTGAACAAGGTGAAACTATTAGCTTGAAAATTATTTGGATTTGAAAATGTGCAATTAAGAACAGAAGAGCAATTTAGAGTATTAGCAGTAATACTGTTATTGAATATACTATAACAAAAGAAAATCTGAAAAATGAAACGGCATGGCCATGTCCTTGCTTTTGAAAATATTCTCAGAAACAAGTGTGACATTCATAAGTGAGCCATGTTCACATCGATACCATTGATATTAAAATGTACTACAGACCCAAGAAAATTATTTTATGAAGAAAAAAAAAAAACAAAGTTGTGACTTAACATTTTAGTAAATGTGGCGGTGCTTACTTTATATTCACTTGCCCTGCTTTCCTTTTATTGTATTTTAATCTGTATTGACATTGATGGGAAAATAAGCTTTATAATGATTTGAAATAAACTATTATTATATCATATATTTATTGTTAATTTAATTTCCAACCCTGTTGATTATTTAAATGAATAATTCATGAACTGTTTATGAATTCAGTATATGTACCGGTCATAATTAGTTCATGAACAACAATTTGGATAGATTGTATCATAGTTTGGGGACCTTTCTGTTGAAAATGTGTCAGAGTTAAATTGTATACATATACATGCACAGTGCGGTAACTGGAGTGCGGGTATCAGTTACCCGCACTCCAGATCATGCCCATTGATTGGTTCATTTTTGCTGGGGTTTACATATTGTGACGGCAGAGAAAGGGAAAGCGACAGACATGTCATATTCAGATGTTCGTTCATTGGTTCATTTTTGCCGGGGTTTCATATTGTGACAACAGGGAACGTGTTTTTATGTTTGACTATGATACAAAAGAGAAAGAACACCAAAACACTCGGCAATCTGATTAATACTCGGGGGCTACGCCCCCTCGTACAAATCAGATAGCCTCGTGTTTCGGTGCTCTTTCTATTACTTAGTTCATGTACCAGAATCATGTAATGTTCATTAACCCATATCATGAATAATATTGGTGTTTTATCATGGTCTTGGTTTATAAACTAAGTATGTTTATGAACTAAGTCTAACAAAATGTGCACACACCCATTAAACGGACACCTGTTACACAGATACTCGGGTTATACATAAAAATTGAAGTTGAAATCCCTGTTCTGAATTTTCAAAACTAAACTTTGTTATGTCACGTATTTTCGCGATCTGCTATTGTATTTGTAACTTGATTAATGCGTTTACCAAGTCCTATTCACACGTATGCTATCCATATTTATGTATATTCTGCGACCTGACTTAAACAACCCGAATCATGTTTAAGTTAAATAAGAAAAAAATAAGTGATTGATTGAAGATATCGATTTGCTACCATAAACAGCATAAATTTATTGCTTTATTCAATTGATATTTTCTTAGCTATTTTCAATTTTCTCTCATTTGTACCGGGTTCTTCTGAGGATGAGGTGGCGGATTTAAGATTTATAAATTCAAGGAGGTGATGACATAGCATGTCCGTATATTCAATCCTTAATGCGGGAGAGTACATTGAGCTTTATTGGAAAAATCTGTTCCGTCGGAACATGATGAATATAATTTTTTCAAATATTGAAATACATATAACGAACATTAGCAATTACCCAATGTTAGCTAAAAATGTCACGTGATCACCCACCCTGTAACGTTGTTCACTAAATAAACGAACGTTTAAACAGAACATAAGATTCAAGCGTAGTTGAATGTAGTCAGTTTTAAGGTGATTCCGCTTTGTCAGCCATGTTTGTTTTCACTAAAGTCTGTCTAAAGTGAAAGTAGGCCAAAATTCATATAACAACAAAGCTCTTATTGTAAAATGATGAACCATTTGAAAGTACACTTCCAGGTTTATATTTTAAGGACAATTATAAACAAAAATAAAAATGATAACAATAAGAATATTTACCTTGAATGTGCTACATTTCTGAAGACCAAAAACATTTTGTTGCAAAGTTTTATGCACATTTCATGAATGGCAAAATCCTTTTTAAAGTCTGTTTTAGTGCCTGAATACTTGAATGACCTATTTAAGTTATATGAATACTACTACATGTATATTTCAAACTCGTTATATTTATGAATATCTAACGTAAACAACGAATAAGTAGGCATATGTCCGTAAACAGGGGTAGGACGTGATTTATTTACTGACATGTTTCGGTTTTAAGCCCATCTCACATAGAACACACGGTTTATATGGTTGGCCACTCGTACAAACCGTACATACAATCGAACTAACCGTGAGTTCAACCGAGTTACACTCGGGCCATTCGAGTGTATCCGTGCAAGCCGTGTATGATTTTTAAAAAAAACTGGTACGGATGTAATGTCCGTGTATGATCGTATAAACGACCGTACAAGACAGTAAGAAACCTTGTGAAACCGTTTGAGACCGTATATACAACCGTATTTGAAGTCCACTCCACGAGTGAGCCCAACCTTGCTTAGATCGTATATAAATCGTATGGAATCGTTCGAGACCCAAATACTACACCCAACACCCGATTAACATCCGAATGTCACACGATCACGGTACGATTCACTCGAGTGCACACACGGTTTCATACGATCGCCATACGACCAATACGGTTCAAGTACGAATCATACATGGCAGCCTCTACATCAGCATGAACTGTACAACGAAAACCATAACTACCTGCTGCCACCCTCAATTGCTAGATCTACCCAGAATACTTGCTGCATCATACTAGAATATATCCAAAGAAGAAGTTCCCACGCACAGAAGGAATGCGAGAAGGGCCATCCAGGCCCGCCGACCTCTCCAACCTTTTGAGCCTGCCAAGCCTGATGAGCAGGGGGACCCACCAATGTCTATCAGTCTTGTCATGATTTCTAATTTCCTTATCTTTTCATCTGTTGCATCTGTTGTAAAATTTTACAATTTTTTAACTTATGCCGCAAGTAGCTCAAAGGAATGTTGATCAGCACGTGTAGTTGTGCACCTGGGCATTTTCGTGTGGATATATTTAGTATTTTTAGAGTTATTGCCCTTGACTTAGTAAAAAATTTACAATTTTCAACGTAACTCAAAAAGCATTTAACCTAGATTCATGAAACTTTACCGGAATGTTGATCAGCATGTGAATTTGTGCATCTGGGGTTTTGCTTGTGGATTTATTCTGTTTTGTCAGAGTTAGTAAAAATTTGCGATTTTCAACTTGTGTAGCACGTAGCTCAAAAAGTATTTGACATACGGTCGGTCATAAAACTTTACAGGAATGTTGATTCAGCATGTGAAGTTGTGCATCTGGGGTTTTGCTTGTGGATTTATTCTGTTTTGTCAAAATGAGTAAAAATTTGCGATTTTCAACTTGTGTAGCACGTAGCTCAAAAAGTATTTGACATACGGTCGGTCATAAAACTTTACAGGAATGTTGATTCAGCATGTGAAGTTGTGCACCATGGGTTTTGTTTGTGAATTTAAATGTTTTGTCAGAGTTATTGCACTTGACTTAGAAAAAAAATTCATTTGTGTCGTGCGTAGCTCAAAATGTATTTAACCTAGTCATGAAACTTAACAGGAATGTTGGTCAGCATGTGTAGTTGTGCACCTTAAGTTTCGCTTGTAGATTTATCCATTATTTGTTACTGCCCTTGACTTATTAAAAATAAAATAAATTCATTACGTTGTGTTATTTGTTCCTTGAGTGCTTGAGTTAAAATCAACCAACTTTACAGGAATAATGATCAACATCACTGTGAAGCTATGCACCTGGTATTTTGCATATGGATTTTTTTCAGTTTTGTTAGAGTTCTTGCCCTTGATTTATTTTCAATTTTTTCATGCATAGCTTAAAAAGTATTTGACCTGTAGGCCTGAAAGTTTACAAGAATGTTGGTCAGCATGTGTACCTATGCACCTTGGGGTTCGCTTGTGGATTTATTCAGTATTTGTAAAGTTCTTGCCTTTTACTTAGTAAAAGATTTTTAATTTTTAACTTATGGCACATGTAGCCCAAAAAATTTATTTGACCTTGAGTCATAAGACTGACAAAACAGTGGAGTGTGGGGGCAACCGTGTCCTATGGACACATTTCTAGTTATTAGATATTATGTTTTTTACAATGCGGCACGTTTGTAAGGTCGTTTGTCATAGGTTAATCGTTATGTTTATATAAACGGGTTATAATCATTTATGTTTTAAGCTAACACAGAGATGACAAGTTCTGTTAGTTACCCCATTTGGAAGTCAATAAGACGTCTTGAAGTCCTAAATAAGCATTTTGCGGTAGGCACAAAAGTTTGCTATTCAAGTGCGGCAAACAATGTTGCTCCAAGTATAACTGTTAAACCTTCTATTGGTATGGTCGACGAAAAAGTTAACATACATATACGTGGATTGGCCGCTAGACAGGCGGTAACTGTAGTTGCTGATGTGATAGAAAATGGAATGAAGTTCGAATCTCGGTGTATTTACCAGGCTGACAATAATGGAGAAATACATAATTTTTCTACAGAATCCATTGGTGGTTATTTCAAAGGTAAGTATTATATGTTTTCTTAATAATTATAAACCATGTGTGGCATTCTTCTAAAGTAAACGGTGTACACAGCAGTAACCAAGCTAAATGGTTCATTTCTTAAGTACATTTTGTCAAAATAATTATATATAATGAAATTTCTTTGCTTTGACTTTTTCAACAAATGTTTTTACATTGCTTGAAATTATTCTGTTCCAATGGGACTATTTTGGAGCCTGAAATGTTTATCCATACAAAATCGGTCTGCTAGATTTGTCAAAAAGGATGTTAGTACACTGATGAATTTTCATATCAAGGTCTTTCCTGATGCGCCAGAGACTAATGTGGAAAGATTGTACAAAAAGCCAGGGGTTAGAAGAATTCCACTTTCCGGGAAAGTTAAAGGAACGTTATTTATTCCAGAAGGTAGTGTGCATTTGTTATAAAAAAATAACCATTTCTGATCTGTATACTTTATTATATCCGTAGAATTAAAAAGCCCCAATTTTATGACATGAGTAACTCATTTATTCATATTTCACACAAATTGTGCATAGATGAATTTATACAATTTTCAAAACTCTTAATTGTATTTTTTCACAAATGTTAACATATATTTAAGTGCATAGTTTGAATGTTACATCATACAGTGGAAGGACATGTGACTTATATACGCAGTAAAAACTATTATTTACTGTACGAAGTATTTTATTTAGCTCGTTATCTCCGCCTCAATCTTACTTAATTTTACAATTAAATTTAACTTTCACTTAGGAGCTAGATGGACCGTTTCCCGCGCTATTTGACATGTATGGAGGTCTAGTAAGTCTCGTTGAAACACGTGCAGCGTTGTTAGCGTCCCATGGTTACGTCACACTGACGTTATCGTATTTATAC